AGCTCAGCATCTAATGGATAAATGAAATACTGCTCAATAATTTGAAAATGAAAAATAGAGTTAGAGTAAAAACAGTTCCAGTATCATTTTATAAATGAGTCAGTGGTTAATGAGATAACAATATTTAAAGTTTATTTTAAATTATAATATAAATACACTTATACTTTCAATTTTTTAAAAAGTTTTTATATTTTAGTTTCTCAATAGCATATCAAACATTCTTTATACATTGCAATCTTAACCACTTCCAACAGAAAAAGAACAGAGCTTACTATTTTTTTTTATCAAATAACCAAACACAGCAATTTCTGCCAATAAAAGAATTGTTCCCACATTTTTGAAAGTTTCATTTTTTTCACTCAGAAGATTACCATACTGAGCATCTGCTGATAAATACAGCATGTACTAGTAGTACATTTATTCTTTACAGAACAGTTTCCCTCTGTAACACCTTTTAAAAACTTTTTCATCTTTTCTTACCTTGGAAAAACAGAGAAAACTTATAATAAATGGCAATGTCTTTCTTTCTCTAAAGTGGAAAGAACACAAGTGCTTGTTGCTAACAGAGGAAAAATAAATTAGCTCCAATGTGCAACCGTCACTTTCGAATTACTATATGCATTCTTTTATTTCCCCACAACACTTTTCCACCCTGATTTCTAATGGTTCAGTTCATAAAAGTCCACTTCAGTCACAGCCCCTACACCAATAGCACAGCGTTAATACAGCCATCATTTTCAGGGTTATTTGTAATCTGAGCATTCTTTCTTCACACCACTTTTCCACCCTGATTTCTAATGGTTCAGTTCACAGAAGTCCACGTCAGTCACAGCCCCTACACCAATAGCACAGCGTTAATGCAGCCATCATTTTCAGGGTTATTTGTAATCTGTGCATATTTTCCCCACACCACTTTTCCACCCTGAGTCACAAGGCCCAGTTCACTAATGTTCACTTCAATGACAGTGCCCTTGGTTAGCACTCCTAGTGAGGTATACAGGGGGGAGCTGGGGTTCTTCTTCACTCCTATGATAGGGAGACAGAATGTGGCTTTTAACTCGGGGTGTGTCACATGGGCCTTCTTGTACCTCAGTCCCATTGGTCGAATAAATCGTTCATATTTGGGAGGTTTTCTTGTGAACCCGTCGCCAACGAAGCATGGTTTGGTGACCATTCTTTTCCAGGCTTTCCGCTTGGATTTACCAGTTCGTACAACTTTGAAGACTTCAGCCTCGCTGATGCCTCGAACTTTGGGAAGTGGCACCTCCCACTTGCCAGCTTTTTCTTTCCGTTTTTGTTTCACCATGTTTGATAAAACCTTGGCTCTGGACTGTCCTTCGCGGTCCAGGAGATAAGCAGGCACAGCGCCCTCTGGGACCACATCATCCTTCTTCTGTTTGGTTTTTCGTTCTTCGTGCATTTTGATGGTCTTTTTCATTTGGACCTTCTCAGCATGTCGTTTCTTGTTGTACAACTTGGCCTTCAGACCACGTAACTTCTTTGCTTTCTCTGCCATCTCATGGGGCTTTCGGCTTTCTTTCTTCCTCCTTGAAAATAAAATTTAAAAACAATGTAAATTTTCTTTTCAATTCCACTGAATACTAATTCATTGAAAGATTTTTTTAAATCAGACATTTTGAATGATTTACCATTTTTTACATCTCTATACAATACCTTACAATAAATAAATAATCATTTACTAAACAAGTTAAAAAAAATAATGATCAATGGAAATATCTCCAGTGATTGCATACATTTAATTCCAGTTTTCTGTAACTACCAAATATTCCAATTTTTATCCTAAGCTTGCAAGAGAAATAACATGACAGACTGGGCAATAATGATATGTTAAGAGCCTGAATCAAAGGTTTCTCTCATACACTGTTGTTGCCTACTGGGGTACAGTAAACCAGCCCGTAGCAAGCAATTTCAAAAGGTTTTTTTTTTTTTTTTTTGAAAAAGTGGACCTTTTCCCATAAAAAACTTCATGTACCTAGACCAAATTTTACCCAGAGTGGACCTTTTCCTACCAAAAGGGGTGGTTCCTTTGAACCCCCTGAACCCCCTTGGCTACGGGCCTGGTAAATAAGCGAAACATTATCCAGTGCCACCCACCCCTGAAGTCTCTGATTGGTAATGTACCTTAACCAAAATTAAGTTATTAGTATGTGTGTGACTTTGACCAATGTTAAAGCTATTCAAATAAATTAATTTAGGAATTTACTTATTGACTAATGAGGTTACAACAAATTTTCACCCCACTGACGGCCCCAGCCCTCACAATATTCCAATGGCAAAGATTCATGCAAAAAACATTGTTAAATTAGTAAATAAATTGCTAAGCAATGTCACCAAACAAAACTAATTTAGAAAAGATATTGAAAATCACAGAGTTAAATGGTGGAGATAAATACTAACAAAGTGCCCTTGTAGGAGTACAAGATTAAATGACTTAAATGAATGTCTTTTTTTTTAAATTAAAGAGTTTTTGAGCACTTACTTTTTCTCATGGTAATCCAGGCGGTAGCCATGCCGCTTGCGATGGAGCTCTATGTGCTCGTTCTGTGGCATATTTAGGAGTTGATGCGGTTACTTGAGCAAGAATCTGAAAACAGGAAAATGTTAATTATGTTTATTATAACATGAATCGTTAATTATGTTTATTATAACAAAAAATTCCTTACTTACCTTTCCCCAATTTAAACACACAATGAAATATGCAAACGAGAGATTTATAAACAGGCAAGTTACCGAAATACTGGACTTGCCTTCTAATAATTTTAAAACGTGTCGAAAAGAAATCTTGAATACTGATTTCAGGAGCCACGTCAGCTAATTGTCTCCACAGGTTATCGAGGAAGGGCTTTACTAAAGTATCTGTATATTCCATCATTATGAGTTCAACTTTAATACAACATAACTGATCTTACCTATTCAATTTCGACTAAATGTGGAACTTATCTTGTCGACCACGAGGAAACAACATGGAAGTCTGCAGTATCGCTAGCTAGTTTATCTCCATACTAGTGAAGTTGAAAACGAGGCTACGTGAGGACGAGGTGAGAAAAGTTTATTATTGTACTTTAAAAGTACCCAGGTACTCTTCGTGTCCTTTATTTACCATGCTGATCCCTTAGATTACTTAGAATATGATGCATATGGCAGGTTTTTAGAGAGACATGAGAAATCTGGAACCGAAGACTAGATTTGATCCTAGGGTTCTGCAAACAAACTTGCACTGAATGAAAGTTGGAAATATGATTGGAAATGATACTGTGACTGTTAACGGGGGGCATTCTGGCAGCCCCCAGACGTAACTTCAGATACCTTCCTTGCACAGAAGTTCCAGCTTTACAACGAAGAACATGCACATGTATTAATGTCCATGGCTGCAAAAGTAAAACCGTGGTGTTAGCAAAGTCCAATCCCAAAGAATCTCTGTAGTGTAATTTATTACTGAAATAAATTACAGCAGCTACATGTACATGTACATGCAGTGTCGCCATCTATAACAACATAATTATTGATTGAAGTGGTCTTTTTGCCAGAGTGGTGAACACGATCTTGATGTGACTCTGATGGGGAGTGAAAAAACCCAGAAGATCCATCATTCTGCAGACATGTCTACTGTACATTTGTCATATTAAGTTCATAGCATGTAGTCACGCTCGGCTGTCACCTTGATAGGATAGTAACGATTGTCGTAAAATCGCTAAATGATATAAAAACCCGGGTGCATAAACTTGAAAACCACCTAGGACAACCTTGGACTGCCACATTAATCCAATACAATGTAAAAATAAACTATAACAAGTGGTTAAAGCCTTCAAACCGAATGTCGTAAAGTCCCCATATACCTCCATAGAGACAATAAAATAGAGTCAGCTTGTGAAACAAGAAGCCACCAACTTAAACATAATAATCGAAATAAAATACTGCCGGGCATCGGACCGGCCTAAAACTTGGCACGCTTACCGCAAATACTGCAGGCTACATCATCCCGTCGCTTGTTTGTAAATTCCGTGCATGGCTTACGCACAATCAAACCGTATATCCAAATTCCACCTCTGATGTTTATTTCGGTCCTCTCCACAATCCAATTCAGGAAATGACGTAACCGCAGAGGTCGTATTGTCCAATGGCATGGCTTCTTTTTCGTAATTGGAGGTTAGGTATTTTTCTGTCGGAAATGGTCAAAATTTGAGGATGGATCAACAGATAATTTGAAAGACTGTCAGAAAATATCTTTGGATCTGTCCCTGCTACATTACAGTGTTTAATTTAAGGATTAACTGCCCAGTATTTGGTACGATATAAATAGTTGAAAGTCTTTGGAGTCCTTAACCGTCTTCAGAGATAAATATTAAATAAAACTTAAAGGGATTGTTTATCATATCAGGTGATTTTTTTTTTCATTTCCAGGATGCATCAAGCCTTAAGCCAACAGCTGGTAGCAGGCAACAAGAGCAAGCAAAGAGCATCATCAAATCAGTCTCCATACTTACATATCTTACCAACAGACTAATGTAACCAGGCAACCAAGCTGCTGTAACCAAGTAAAAACCAATGTTACTAGGCAACAAGTTAATGTGTGTTGGTAACTAAACTAATAAGAATACAGTCCACATGCTGGTTTCCCGTGACCTGCTGTCCATTCTTTTTACCCACAATCCTCTCTGTCATGGGGTCCATCGGTGAGATCGAGGTCTGTCTCCCCGTCCCTGTGTTTGTGGCTGCCGTGAAACTGACCCAGGAACAGTCCGTGGATTACATAGGAGCAGATAAGCATGGTCAGTGCGAGAGAAGAAATGGCTTGGATGTGCCTTCTGGTCTCATTTTAGTTTAAATTTTAGAATTTTTATATGGAAACTTCAGCACTTTTGGTAAAATCTTTAAATATTATGAACCTTTATTGTTTAAGGACATGCAATTTTTTTGTAAAATCTTTAATCATTATGAACCTTTTTTCAAGGACATTGTATCAAATTTTATTGTCCAAAATAAATGTCACCAGTCAACAACAGGAATAATTCAAAAATTAAAATTAAAAAGACCAGTTCATAGTTCATAATTATGTCAACACAACAGTTTTGGATTTGGGTTACCTTGGTGATTAAGAGGAACTTTCTCCCTGAAATTAAAGACTTGGTACTAGTATATAAAGGTCTGATGCTTGTTATGTCAATCCCCCCCCCCCCCAAACCAAAAAAAATAATAATAATAATAAATAAATAAAATAAACTAATTGATAACTTGCCTTTGTTTTGGTGTAACATTTTCATTTGGCAAATGTTCTTCAGTAGTCTGCATAACAGATTTTTCTCATTTTCCCAGGTGTCTTGTGAGATGTTATTTAAAACATTTTAATATAGGAATGAAAGTAACTTGAAGTTTAAATTCTGTTATAATTGTACCATAGGAATTTTGTAACATTGTTTGGTGGTATTCTCTGTCTTCTTAAGATGAATATTTTTATGTATTTTTCATCCAAATTTTATATGAATTGCAACAGATCACTAACATATAATTATGTCTTACTCTGTCCTAGTTGGTTTATGGATTTGTTTTCTGTTATAGGTGACTATAAGTATGGCCTGCACATAACACGCAGTAACAAGATAGTGTCCATGAAAGTCTCCCTGCTGCGCTCTGGGGACAGCGACGGCCATTTCAAGATTCAGATTGGGGATGTCATGCGAGTTGTTGCGCCTTCTAGTGACCAATCTCATTCAAACTCTCCTCACCTTGAGGCTGTTTCTTCACCAGAAAAATACATCGAGGTATCCAAAGAGCGTCGGTCGTCACCAGACAAGGATGTGGAGTGTCTTGGGACTACTTTTGCTCCAAATCCAAGGCGTAGTCTTGCACCAGAATATACAGGAACACGTAAGCGTAAACTAATGGGACGTTTTATTGGTTCTCTCACTTCTGCTCCCCCAAACAAAGTCAATTTACTGTCATCGGCTTTAAGGAGGGATTCTCAGCAAAATGTGAGTGGTGAGTTACAGCAAAGACAGTCTAGTGGAATGGTCAACGGTGGTGTCCAGCCTTCCCTTGACCACCTGACTCCCTCTTCTCCCCCGTCACGGCAAAGGAGCACCTCCCACTCCTCCGAGGATATCAATAACTCCTCTCAAACTGACCTGAGGATCACAGATGTGAGGACAGATTCAGCGAACATTAATTTCACAACCCCCAATGCTCCCACAAATAATGCTTACCATTCCCAGAATTCCATGCCACAGGCACAGGCAATATACGAGGCAGGCGAGTATTTCAGTTTAATGAACTCTAGGATCAGTCCAAGTGTAACGTCATTAAATGCCAGTATGCAAAGTGAGGGTGCAAGTGACACTCCGCAGCAGACTGACCCTCAAGGTCAAGTTTATATTCCTGTGACCTTGAAAAATGATGGTCAAGGTTATGAGGGGGTGCACATAGAGGCTAGTGACTCTGCAGCGACTTTCACCTCCTCGAATGTATTATCTTCAGTCACCACTTATGAAAACAAATCTATGCCTTTTGATAACAGATCTCTTGCAAAGAAAGTCAAAAGGAAATATGTCAGCTGTAGATTTTGCCCAATATGCAACACTCCTCAGAGAAACTTACACACGCATTTGGAGCGCGTGCACCATCTCAATCGCGATGCTCGCCAAGAGTGGTTGCAGAGAGAGAAAATGGCAAGGCTTGAACGAAGGAACAATTTGGTGCGACGGATGACCCTGCCTCATGTGCCAGTGAGTTCTGAGTTACCCCAGTCCGATCAGACTGTCAACGAGGAGGGATAAATGGATAGAACTGATACCAGGAACCTGTTCTACAATATAATTCTAGCACAAAAATTGGTCTTAGTCTTTAGACCAAAAATATAACCTTCTTCAGGTTAAGATAAATTCAATAAAAATCCAATAATGAATCAAGTAGGTTGTGATCTACAATGTAAACCTTGTCTGCTAGGCTTCAAAACAGGCGCAATGTTTCATTTATTTAAACAGCTGCTGATTTCATTTATGTCAAAGTAAATTAAAATTTTGGTCTAAAGGTTTTGGACAATTTCCTGGTGGAATCTCCATAATGAGGCAAGCACCATGGCAGACGGCTATGGCATGTACTTACAGAGACACCTTTACCAAACACAGAAGTCATGTCCTACGGAACTTAGTTATTGTTTTTAGCTATTTTTCAATGCCTAGTTTGGTATGCGGTGTCTAACTCAACTTCTACACCCTGTCGAAGGACCGGAGTTTCATGTTTTTTTTTTTAACTGAGAATAGAGAAACTTGTATATAGATTTAAGAAAACCATAAAAAATAATCTCCCACACTGGAAGATTGATGTAATGCTCACTGGAAGGTATAAATTTAATTTTGTATCAGAGAATTCTCAAGAGATTTGTAATTATGTGCAGAGAAATAGTTAATCAGTATGGTTATTTTTCATGAAATCATAATGATCATTATTTTATTGGAATTCTACAAAGCTTTGCTTTGGGAGTATGACATGACAAAATGTTTTGATAGCAATGAGGATTGAGCTGGGTTTGTGCTAGAAAGTATGTTTTGTGAATAATCTTATGTGAAAAAGATGGCTTTTAGAAACTGAAATAACATGGTGTTTAAATTGAGAATAATTACTATGTACATGAAGGCATTCTTGAAGGGTCAAATGTTGTCGTGCAATTATAAGAGAGGTTTTCAGTTCTGTTACTAAAATATTTAATATTTAAGGCAGAAACAGAACAGTCATACTTTTGTAGGTTCAGATATTGTCTTTAGTTTTTTAGATATTTGATTTTATTACGCAACAAAATACAAGATGTATACAAGATGTAGATTAACCCACGAATGAATATTAACACTGCATTGTGTAATTTTATTTGTATAGACTCTCTGATTATTTTAATGCATTTTATTTTGACAGCAGTCTGTTTTCTTTGACTTACGTTTTAATTTTTTAAAAAAACATGGTGTGATAATTACCCAAATGAGAAATTTATATGATAATAGATATAGTTACTG